TTGGATGAAGTCTGAGAGATCACGCAACTTAGTGGTTCGAATCAAAACCAATGGCAAAATATCCCATATTCCTCCTCTCTTCTCCTTTTGAATGTAACATACTACTGAATGCTCCTGATAAGTACGCTACCTTGTTTTGATTCTGTTGCTCCTCAACTATTGTATTTAGTTTTTTTGTTGTACACATTTTAGTGTCCACAAAGTAGTAAGTTAGTGATTTATATTAAAATAAGTAATTTTGTGGTAATCGTTTGTGTTCTTTGGATTCTTTTGATTTGCAACTAAGGTTCTACTTGAAGAAAAAAATTGAATTGATGATAGACATCTAATGATAATTAAAATTTCTAGCAACAATAAAGTCGAACTAGAGTTCGCTTTAACATTTTACTGATATCACTTACATGATACTTATAAGCCCAGAGAACAGAACGATTAACTAAACAAACAATCATTTTTAAGTAGTCTTTGTAAGTAATAATAATAGTAACAATAATATTTCCACAATGCATTACTTTCAAAGCTTAAATACACAACTGCCCTAGGAAAGTAAGTGGAATTTATTACAGAAACAGTAAACGTGATAATATATAGGGTCATCTACACAGTCGCGAAACAGTATCCAAATAAGGTAGGAGAACGACTGTAAGGGATCGAAAAATTAACAACCTCCTAGCCTCTGGAACGTAGTTTAAACGTAGGTCACAGCACCCACAAAGATAAATCTATATACAAACGTATCCCAGTAAATCGGAAGTGACCACTGTATAAAAGCGGCAGAAACAAAAAGCAGAAATTTCAAATTAAAGGAAATCAAAAACTTGAGTTCCTTCAAAAGTAATCATATTACAGCTATTAAGACACTTTGATAGCATATTTTAAAAGTATAGCAAAAACTTATTGTCTAAAGAATTAACTTGCATACTGTCTGCATTATACAGTACCGTATAAAAAAAGATCTCTTAGGAAACTGAATTCTTAAAATAATATTACTCTGTGAGATCAAAAATGACCACTTATTACCTACAGTTCGTGTCAATATATATATATATATATGTACGACTCAGTACCGACAGTTTCATATATTCATGTTTGTTATCTTCGGTGGCATAGCGGTTAGGACGCTCGCCGACCATGCACATGGTCCGGGGTTCGATCCCCGGCCGACACACTTCTTTACCTCGCTAAGCCAGAAATAATGCTGGTGAAGAGGAAAGGTTGGGTATGAGGCTAGCAACCCCATCCTGTAAAATAAACACTGCTACAGAAACTTCAAGCCACTAGCTTGAAGCCCTATGTTCCACTGGGGAACGTGAAGGAAAAAAAATCTTCGGAGAAGGGTAGAACTAATTCGAATGAACCATGAGATAGTTTTTTCAGAATAAAATTAATAATATCTTAAATGGTGAATAACATAAAAGTCTGTTCACCCCTTTTTAATCAACAGGTAAATCATGTATTTAACGTAGGCAATTTAAACAGAGCACAAACCAATGGATTCACTCGAATCCGTACGGTTCAGAATATTTCGGAGAAGTATTTAGTACCATGAACACAATACTGACAAGAATGATTTGAATATGTGAAAAGTTCATATGAACTGTGATCAATATTTGACCGGATAGTTGCAAAATACGTTGTTTGTAACTTGTTATTCAGCCTAAACTCATAATTTGAAATATTTTTTGATATGTGCTGTAGCGTAATATAATAACCTAATGAATTTACGAAGGGAGAATGACAATAATGAATTACTACATAAAGCATAAGATAAGCTTAAGCTTTTTTTTCGTTAGTATTACTATTTATATAAAGGAAAAGAGAAGACTGCAGGACAAACAATTATTCTCAACTTCAGCCAGTTTCGGATAACTTTCCTAATAGCTGAAACAGAATGAATACAGATGATAACATTAAAATTATATGTTAATTCACGGTAACTCCGTAAAAACTGACTTTCTTCTCATTTCTTTCAACTAATCTTAAAAACTGAAAAGATACATATATGATATCTACAAGTTTTCAATGATAGTCCAAGCTAAGTATATGCGGAAACACACAATGTGTGTCTCACAGTGACATTACATCTCAGATACCACCAAAGCACCGATCTTTTTCAACGAAAATCTGTAGAACGGATAACAAAGAGATCAAACTACCAGGGTCATTCAGGGTATCGGGGTTCCATGACTTATACTAACTCACAAATCTTATTGAAATGGTTTAATCCGAAATTGAGCCAGAATCACACAGATGAGTAGTCAGTGGTGTTGCATTTAGGACATAAAGTCCAACTGTGTTAACCAGTCCAAATCCATAATCTGTCCAGTTAACTTTTATCAGAAAATCAATGCACTACCAAAGCCCAAAATTTAATTAGGCACTAAAAGTTTAAGTATTTAAACTAAAGCAAAATCTCCATTATGGATGAGATTTTATTGTGATAAATCACACAGTGTTACAGAGTAATATTAATTGATGACGTTTCGAGCACAAATTATTGCTCATAATCTCACGAACTTATATTAGATGACTAGTATGCTACGTAACAGCCCCTGTCATACTCAGATTTGTAGTTGGTCGTATCTAACACATTTCGCACATGCGGATGAAAAACACTCGTATATGATTATTATACTATTTTTTTATTCAGAATACCCATATTTCTGTAGACTTGACTAATTAAGAACAAGGTAAATAATACATAGTTTACATGTATCGTTGAAGTTAAAGCCAGGCCAACTGGTTCAGCAAATAATTCACAGATATCACACAAGATGTTCCTGACACCGTTTACGTCAGGAAGACAATCTTGATTGTAAATGTCAATAATGTCACCCGCTACATTCTTTTATTAGTTATGAATTACACTTGTATGAGCTTAGAACACTACCTAATTACCTAAGTCGAAATAAACTGTGTAAGATTCTAACATATACTAGTTGAAAGTATTTAAGTCAAAAAGGTATCCAAACTGTTTGTAGAGAAATAATTGTTTGATCACAGTCGATGTTAATCAATGTAGCATCACTGTCACTTGATAGTGTAAGTTTTGTGAAGTCATTCAGTTATGTCCCACTTTGGTAATAGAAATCAATGGACAAATATGTACAACAGCTGACTAATCCTGGTTTCCAAAGTAGCATTACTCCCCATGACACAATGTGAAAGAGTCAGATTTTATTTTTAAAAGTTGAGTCCTTGGGTTTTAGGGAATTTGACAGTAGGCAAGTGCATTTCATCCAATAAGAAAGTCACATTTGATTTATGACTGATATGCACACAATGATATACACCCGGTTTTGCAGACCAACAATAGCACTCACTTTTTTACCAGTCAGTAAAGTACATGAAAACACTAAGATGTATTCCTTACAAATTGTCAGATAGGGTCTGCATGACTCAGATAAATATTTGAGTTAATTAAAGCCGAACTTATACATTTATATGAATAAAAATAATGAGTACCTCTAATTATATTTTTTTTAAACAAGTATACTACTGAAAAGTTTTAACACCTTTTATATGCAATAAGATATCAAACATCAACAAACCTGCAAGTTTACTAGGTGAATTTACAATGTCATAGCATCGTCAAAACAATAATTTCAGGTTCATTAGAATTAGGCTATCAAAGTAAATCAAACACAGGTAATCTTCTTAAAAAAGAAATATTTGTGCTCGGTAGTGGCATCGAAGCCAATCTTAACTGCTAGCTGACGGTGATGGTAGTTTCAATACATTTCAAAACCCCCTAGAAAGTCAAGAGTTACGCTTATTGTGAGACAATTCCAATATTCCCCAGTATTTGCCACTACAGCTTCTCGATTGAGACCTTAACTGATAAAAAACTATGGTGCAGTAAAAACAGAAATGATATATGATCGAAACCTACATACGGATGAAACAACAGTTTTCGGTTTAAAAATTGGGTATGTAAGGAATACACTTGTAATACATATCAATTAAGGCATCCTAGCCATCTGAAATTTTTATGTCATCGTATACCGGTAATCTGCTGCAACCAAAAACACACTCTACGTGAACTCCTCCAGTTAAATACTCAGAAAAAACGAATCACTGACTTGGCCACTAAAAAATTACCAAAAGTTAGCCGAGTTGGGATTTCATCTGTAAATATGCTTCAGGCACCTACGTAGTTATTGCAAACAGATTTCAGCCCATTATATACAAGGCGTTTGAACCCAATTTAAAGTAATGACTATTTTCGTTTATTATCCAACTGGAAAACAAAGTGGTCTATACTTGCTACAAAAAGCGTTTCGTTTTTATTGCTATGGAGCGAAGATGTTGTGTGGTTTGGGCATTCACCTTAATACCTCGGAGTTATTGATTAATGAAATGTCCCCTAGATTTCTGATAAACTGAAGATGGAACATTGGACGTCTATTTGTGGCTGTATGTAAAACGTAGTGTCACACAGTAAAACAAGCCTTTTACATAAACAACTTACAAGATCAACACCAATGACCGAGTGAAGTATGTCAGTATTATGTGGGGGGTTTGAGGCATTACCAAAAGAGATGAATACAAAGTGTCACACATATGAAATCAGTTTACTTTTAAATAGGTAGGAGTGACGTTTACGCAGTAAGCTAATGAACAGGAGTTAACTTGAGGTGTGTCTGAAAGACGTACACCCTATTGTTATTGATCATGAATTAAATAAAAACTGGCAAGAGTTCCCAAACCAAACTTGGGATTTTTATTTCAAAGTATCCCCACTGTTCTTATCTGTAAGTGCATCGTCTGGAGTTGCAAGCTGCTTTCCTTTTCCCTAACATAACGTACGTTATTTACATCCAATTTTTGATTTCCGTCATTCGAAATTAAAATTTTGTATTTTAAACTATACTTTTATACAGGAAACAAAAAGTATTGAAAGGAACTTATATGTAGTCAACATTCATGACCAGACGCTACAAAATTTTCACATAACGTATCAAGACGAGTCTGCATCTAAGTTGCGTCTAAAATAATACCTGAATCATAGCTTCCAGTTTCCGAATTTGATCTACTCGAAAGTCTTTTCTTGGCAGATGCTGTAGAAAGACGTGAATCCTTTGTTTATATTAGCGATGATGACGAAATAACTGACTTACCTTGGCCTGGTCATCGAAAGTAGAACTGTCCCCTTTGGAATGTGAGCAAATAGGTGGTATTTCCAAAGCTTTGTCGACGTTCTTTAAATGTAAGCCACTTGCCATTTCACAATGTGACTTTCATCTGAAATAAGCGCTATCTCAACAACCTTCGCGAAATTTTAATTTCTTTTTCGATATCCAATGTCATCTCCTCAAGCTTAGGTGTACTAAGTTAAGTACTTTCGGCTCCCATCTTGATGGCGGACAATTTATTTTATTACGGATCGATGTGGTTGAGTTTTTAGTTAGTTTATTTCACCTTGGGCAGAGAGTGATAAACCAGGCTAGTATATATTTATATCTTCGTATTCCTATAAATCATTTCAGCTTGCATTTAGGTCCACAAGATTAAAGGTAAGCAGTCTTGCCATGAGTCTTAGGTCCTGTGGTTAATATCCTCGAGAGGATTATGTTTATCATAGAAAGCGATTATCACAGAAGCCGCTACTTGTGGTTTATTCAACTACAGCTGTTGAAATTTTTCCTCATTGCTACCAGCAACTATCCCTTAAGAAGTAACACGTTTTGAAATACATTTCCCGTAATACTTTACTGTGTGCATGTTATTTTCGGGTCACATTTGTAATCAATCCTGCTTTTTGAGTTTTGCAACCAGTACTTAAAGTCTAATCAAGGAGCTAATCGTGTCGATACAATTGATCAGTTTGTGCAAAATATTTCCCCAGCTGTTTAGTGACTTGTTCAACGTTTCACAGCTTCTGGGACACTACTGTGTCTGACTCGAAAACTGTTATTAACCCATAATCTTTCAGAGGTTGAGGGTCTTGATGTTCCCGGATAGTACGAAGTATACCAACGCAAAATCTGATACCCACAATTTCTGGAGTATTCATTCTGCGTAGACAAAAGGCAAAGCAAAACAACATAATTGATCGGCCAAATTATGGCTTTCCTTTCAGTCATTCGTTTGTCTCTACTATGTAAACTTTGGCCATATTTTACTGGATACAGCTCCTTCGCAAAGTTTCTAAGTATCTAGAATGACATTCACCTAATTCGTTCAAAACATATCATGGTAGTCTATGTGACAGTTTCAAATATTACATGCACACATGTATATAACTATTTGTCACAAATGACCAGGAAATTGAGTTTACTTTAAGAAGTATAAGGTGTAGAAGTAGCTAGTTTTGCAGCAACTAAGTTATAGTCTATTTAGCAGATTTAAGTGGGTAGTGAAACAATTAGTGATAAAATTATGCAGAATGATCCCGAAGAAAACAGCTGGTCATCAGGACTAGTTTTGCTGAATTTTTATGAATGATTTTCATATGGTATGCGTCAGACATTGAGAAGTAACCCTTAAACTTAAGTTAGAAATCCTGCGAAATGTTATAAAATTATGCATTTTAGAAAAATATATGAGAAAAGCAAGTTATTGACTGAGTAAAGTTATTTTGGCACAAAAACCAGCAGTGCAATATTGATTGTATATACGTGTGAAGTATTAAAACGGGTGGTTGCTAATATAGTTGTTTCTAGAATTACCTATTCTGACAAAACTTATTGAAGATCTTGGAGAATAGAAAATAAGTAGATTACTTAAACGTAAGTAGTACAGGCGACTTACACATAATTTACTACACTGAATATTGGACTGGCTTTCATTTACCATTATACCGACAGTTTTGGTCTTGTAGACAAGCTAGGCTGGACATTTTAATGTGTCTTTCTAGGCTGCGTTTGAATCCATCGGGGTTTTCACAATATCTAGTTTCAGATGGTAGTTGGTTCCAAAGAGTGAAATATTTAATGGTGAAAAAGTTTGCCCTAATGGATTTTCTGTAGTTAGCCACCTTGAGAAGGTAGTCGTGGTTTCGCAGCTGATTTGATTTAATATTTTCCCACGTTATGGATGAGTAACTGTAACAATGTTTCCCAATAACTTTGAAGTGTAGAAATAAGTTGCACTTCACTCTCCTTAACCATAGGGGTTCTCGTTTCAGTCATATATATCTGTCAACATATTCCACTTGTTGATCAAACCCTATTATGCGTTTCGTGAGGAATCTCTGGACACTTTAGACTTTTTCTCATTCTGGGTTGAAAGTCAGTCGCCATTTTCCTAGAACGAATCAATTATTAGCCCACCATAGTATCGAAAGAACGCGTGAGACGACCCTAATTACTCTCTAAAGAACAAATAGAATAGTCGCATAAATGTATACAAAGACTAAGCAGAAATAAATATGTAGGTTTACTAGACGGCAATGTACATCGAATATAAACATGTATATGCAAACACTAAGATCCTGTCCATGTCCACATATATTTTCTTTCCTCTCTAGTACTTTGCTGCTCACCTCTTCTCTTCTATTTGCCTTGTAGGTGAGGTTTCACTCATTTGCATTAAGATTGTATTTCTGCAGGACTTTAAGCCGCTTACTTATGTATACCATATAATCTTTCAAGCTCTTGTCTCGTAACAACTCATCATCCTTGAAAAATCCACTGTCACCATATCAGGACGCTGTGCGACTTCCTTTACGAGCAGTATTCATGACCCAAAGTGATTTACAGATATTTTTCTACATCTGAACCTAATTCCTCGTACAGAGCACCATGCAGCAACTGTTGGGGGCTGATTCCAGCGCAGAAAAATAAATCTGCCTTGCGATGACCGACATTAGTCTACATCGAGTACATTTCACTTCTGGTGTTGCTCACGACTAAAATGCTGACTAAATTGCACATATATATTTCACTTGTTTCAAATTAATACCCGATTTGGATATGAATGAAGAACAAGATTCGATGCCGTACACACCAAAGTTATACGGGGAAAATGACTTCAAGTCCCTTTTCCCAAGAATTTGTGATCCATCCAACACATAATTGGGCATTTTGTTAATGTGGAGACAATATTTCCATATTTCTTAATGTGCTTCATTGAATCACTAGTTAGCATATTACTCTCACAAACTAAAGACAGAAAAGACAGCAACCATATAATTTCATCATAAACCAAATTTATGTAATTTATGTCCATTGCCGCACAACTGGTGTGTCCTACATAGACAGGTGACAGCAACTTAAATATCCTTTAGGTCCTAACTCAACACCTGTGTATCAAAATGCTTTCTACCTTTTAATAACACAAACATTTAATTCAATTGCAATAGCTATATTAAAGCTTAGAATCCTGATAATAATAATATATTCCCACTCTATGTACATGAGGGTGCCATTTTACATACATCATCAATTTGATAAGTAATATACATATGGATTAAGCATATTCACAATTTTTCACTAACACAGTAAATACACAAGGAAAGGTAATGAGATAATAACAGTAAGCACATTTTATATAGGTTGAAACTGTTTATATGTTTAAATTCTAGAAACCTTTATTGTTTGAATTTGTCAACAACGCGCGTAACAACTGAAATCTTCATTACATGTAGTCGATGTAATGAGATAAAAACCAGCACGATGCTACCAAATAAGCTTTTCCATTTCTCTTTCAGAAAGAACCGCTGACGTAAACCTACTGCAGCAAGGAATTCAATGAGAATATAAACACCATCAGGCCGTTACTGCTTCTTTGTAGCCCAGCTCATAATACCAATCCGGAAAGTCTGCTGAATTCTGAGCGTATGTTAGACTTTATAGCGAATGAAATGACTGAACGAATCATGTCTTCCTACAATGTTGTCGCATACAATCTGCCTGATCGGATGCCTCTGGACCAAAATAATAATAATATAATAATAATCACTTTATTCCACAACAATAACAATTTACAGCATGGAATTTTCAGCGTTTCATTTTACATATTGCATTGGTTTAGCTCTTTTTATAATTATATAAATGTATGAAATGTTAAAAATATTGATAATTAATAGGAAAAAATAAAAAACCAACAAAATCACACCATTTCTAGGTCATAGTGAATAATAAATAAATAATATAACAAATCACACATGCAATAATATGCATCATTACATTTTATAGTTTAGTTAATGATTTAAAAGTTGTAAAAGCTCTTTTCTGATATTCGTCTCTTCACACAATACTCGTGCCTAATATGGTACGGTCGAATTTTTATATTTTGTAGTACGAGCATAAATGTTTATGAAATTTCTTCTTGTCTTACCCGAAGAGATACAAGGAAACAAATGTGAATAAAGAGGATGTTCACTATCAGACAAAATAACTTTAGCTAAGTGTTTACAAGAATTCATGTGCCTATTGACAACGGTGTCGGTTAGTTGAGTCAAAGGGATAGCACTGACCCTACTTACAGCCTTCAATGTTCTTCGTAGTATTATATGGTCTTTCTTGAGTATCCCAGGGAAGAATAATGGAGAACAATAAAGAATGATGGGCAAAACACATGAATTAATAAATTGTATGAGAAGAGATTGGGTTATACCTGAGTGCCTCAACTTCTTTATGTAATAAGTCAGACAGAAAATCTTTTTAGAAACCATAAGAATATGAGACGACCAGCAAAGATTTGAAGAAAAACTAATGCCAAGATAAGAAACACTTGACTTGCTCTCTATCACGGTACCATCAATATTACAACAATCATGAGACTGGATCAATCCATGCATGTCTTTTTCACTTCTCAAGCTGAAATCAACAGTATTACATTTAGTTGGATTTAGTTTAAGACCATTTGAGCCAGACCAATCCTTAACTTCAGCTAAGAAGCCATTCATATGGGAACAATCCGATGTGGAAACTACAGGGACAGAAACGGTCAGATCATCAGCATACTTTATGAAGTTAACTTTGGGTGAGTTCGGAAGGTCATGCAAAAAGAAAGAGAAAAGAAATGGAGAAAGTACTGCACCTTGAGGCACACCACTTTCAGTTAGCTGAGAAGTGGAGCGCTTTCCAGCCAAAACAGTATGTTGTTTCCTATCCTTAAAATAAGAAGACAGCCATCTAGTTGCCCAGGTCTCTGTCTGTGCTGAAATCATCTTTCCTAATAAAAGTGTCCTAGGAACAGAGTCGAAAGCTGCAGTGTAGTCTAAAAAAGCTGTTCAAACGAACTTAGCACCCTTATCAAGGCAGGAAACAATATTGTG